CAGGAGCAGCAGGAGGAGCAGGAGCACGAGCATGAGCAGTAGCAGTAGCTCTGCTGCATCACAGCGGTACCTGTAATCGTAGGTGATGGTAGTACAGGTAGTGGCAATGGGAAGTGCCAGTGCTCCAATCTGTGAAGGCAAGGTGCGCCATTTGTGTGCCAAGCACCCTCTTCCCATGTCTGCTCTTCCTGCACCTCACATCTGTCAGTTATGTTAGCCTAGGCAAACGTTCTTGAGAAGCATGTGGGTTGGAGTCTGCGATGCGGGGAGTCATGGCTTGAAGTGCTAGACTTGGCTTCCTGTTGCCAGCACTGACCCTATGGGATCACGACAGCGAAGACGACTACCTTTGCTGCTGAAAGCAGTTCATTCTACTGCTACCACTACTTCTGGAGTATTGCCAATGCACCTGAAACCACGCTGAAGATTGCTCACAGGACATCTGCACTAATCAAGTAAAAGTTCTAACCTGTAAAGGTCGCCTTGTGAGCCGGCGGGGGGGGGGGGGGGGGGGTGCATGTACTCGGGATAGCTAGATGTAAGGTCCAGGTGTGCTTAGATCGTGTGCGTTATGGTAGCCTGAAGGTGGACATCTGGCAGCAATATTGCAGAAAGAATCCAAATCGTCTGTTCCTGGGCTAGGTAGTATCAGCAACAATTATGTGCTCATGTGGGGTGTACAATAAAGCCCATGCCCTGAAATCTCACACCCTGCTTGGAGGATCTCGAGAGCCCGCTCACTTAGTTCCCTTGACCTCTAGGTAAAGCACCACTTGGCTCGCACACCGCAAACTCAAAAAGTGTTTAGAGTTTATGGTCTGAGGTATTAAGGCTCGAGTTTGAGTTTGAGGGTTCAAGACTGCAGGACTTACGGTGGGATATAGCAGTTTAAGACATGTAAACCCTTTACATCTGCGACGACGAAAGCAAGGCACGCCATTCGCATGTCCGGATGTCTCTTCCGTGGGCTCTTCGGCGGGCTGCTCGGTAGGTGCCTCGGTTTCAGCTGGAAAACTGCGCGGTGGTTTCGTAGGAGATCACCGGGATTCGGAGCTCAGGGTTCAGAGGTTTCAGGATTTCATGTTGTTACACCACCGACAACAACAACTCCTCCTCCTCCTCGTCCTCCTGCTCCCGCTTCACCTCCTCCGCATTTCCCCACTCCTGCACGATCCCTACTGCAAGCAACACAACGACAGCGGCGTCAACGAGCAGTACTACCACCACTGACTGACACTACCGAAACAACCAAGACGACTGCTGAAGATTCTTCAAGCCTTCCAGCTCAGGACATAAACCTCAAAACTCTAAACCCTGAACCCTAAAGCCTTAACTACAAACCCTCCATGTGCCACCTCTAATTTACACCTCCAAAACCTTCAAGCTCCAAAGCTTTGAAGCCTTACAAACCGAAGACGCCGAAACTCTGAAAGCTAAACTTAACCCTAAACGGCAAGACTCTCAAACCGCCAAACCCCCAAATCCCATTGAGCCCCAAACCCGAACCCCGAAACCGCCCCCTCTACTCTGAAAAACCAGACCTTTCAACCCATTGGCCCTAAACCCTAGCCCCGAAACCACCCCCTCGAGACTAAAAACCCAAAACTCTCATGTAGCCCTAAACCATCCTAAACCCTAATCCCTACACCCTCAACCCTAATCCCCACACTCTCAACTCCTGAAGCCCGAAGCGCAGAGTTGGAACCCTAAACCCTAAACCCTAAACCCTAATTGGGTGCCTCCTGGTCAGGCACGGTCCTCTCTTCCGCAGGCTCCTCCGGCTCGACCTCGTTCTTCTTGGTGCTTCGGTTTGGGGATTAGGGTTTAGGGTTGTGGGTTTAGGGTTTAGGGTTTAGGGTTGTGGGTTTAGGGTTTAGGGTTTAGGGTTTAGGGTTGTGGGTTTAGGGTTTCGGGTTGTGGGTTTAGGGTTTAGGGTTGTGGGTTTAGGGTTTAGGGTTGTGGGTTTAGGGTTTGGGGTTTAGGGTTTAGGGTTGTGGGTTTAGGGCTGGGGGCTTGCGAGCTTTTCAAGAGTTGCATGGCTTCTAGGGGCTTCACAGCGGATGTCAGCTGCCTTTATTGATATCGGCCGCTTCTTGAAAACAGGGACACCCTAAACCATAAACCCTAAACCCTAAACCCTAAACCCTACCTTGAAAAGCGACCTTTGCAATCGGGATCCCTGAAAAGTTCAGGTGAAGCTGCCTACCTGTCTGTCGGTCTGTCTTTCTGTTTGTCTGTGGTCTGTCTATGTATCTATGTGCCTATGTATCTATATGTATATATCTAGGTATGTATGCAGGCATGTACGTATGGTGAGTTTGTCTGCTTGCGATGTTATGTTGTAGTTTGTTGGTTTGTTTGTGCGTTCGTTTCTTCGTGTTTTTGTCTTCTTGCATGGTTGCTTCTAGCTTCAAATGCGGTTGACCTTTCAGGGGAGGGGTAGGTACAACTGAAGTGGAGCCGGCAGGCCAACAATGAATGTTCTCCAAGTCAGGGCCCCTCTACCCCCAAAAAGGACCCTCATTTAGAGAACCACCCACACACTGGCATGGCAAGAGAAGGTCCCGAGCTTGCTTTAGGGAGTTTAGGGTTCAGGGTTCGGGGTTTAGGGTTTAGGGTTCGGGGTTTGGGG